CCCCCCCCCCCCCCACTTTTTCTTTATCCTTGCGGCGTTGTGTTTGTAAACAGTCGCGATGTCCCGCGGCAGCTGCTGCGCGTCCGTCGCATGCCGCAGGTCCCTATTTAAAACCTGTGCCGAGGAAATGAGGGGGTTGGGGGGTGCGGGGAGGCGCCATTGCAGAACATGCAGCTCATCGGGGTGGGACGCGTGGCCGTGGAAAGGCTCCGTGCCCCGAGGCGGCCGCGGACACGCCCCCCGCGCGCCGGCTGACCTGTGGGGCCCCGGGCCCCGCGGTGCGCAAACACGTGGCCCGCTTACGGCCTCGGCCCTGCTTGACCCCGCGCCGCGGGGGGACTCTCGGGCGCGGCAGCAGCGTGGCACAGGACAAGGGGGCCCCCCTGGAATTGTGCGGTCATTGCCGCCGGGAGCCGGATCGCGCTGCACCACGATGAGGCGCGGACCTGCTGCATGCGGCGGGCCGGGGCCTCACAGGTGTTGCCATGATGGAGCTGTCGGCGCCCCGTGACCGCTGCAGCGGCGCGTGGCGGCGCGGTGCGGTGGCCCCGCCGCGGCCGGCGCGACCTGTGTGGTAATGACGTGATTGCCGGTCGCGAGAGAGGTCCCCGCCCCGCGCCCCGCGCCGCACCCGCGCCCGCGCAGCGCAGCGCCAGCGCCGGCCGGCCAGTGCGTCCCGCCCGCGTCCACACGGCGGTCAAGCAGAGCGAGTGCCGCGCGCCGAGTCGATTGTAAAGCTTGTGATTTGTGCGCCGCGCAGCGTCTCAAGTTGACGACTTCCCTGCTGCTCTTCCTCTCGCCACATCCCCTCCGCCGTGCCCGCCGCCCTCCTCGCCCGCGACATCCCCCCTGCTGAACCATGTTGGTGGTGGCGTGAGCCGCGCCGGCAGCCAGGATGAGGGGCAAGGTGCACGTGCCCGACATGGCGCTGCTGGCCAGCGTGTTTCGCCGCAAGAAGAGCTGGACGCTGATCGACCACCCCGCCGCCGCCGCCCCCGCGCCGCCCAAGGTGGCCAACAACCCCGTGGTAAGGAAGCTATAATACCTCCCGACCTCCTCCTTGTGCCTCATCGTCCTCGGGGCGCGTGATGGCAGGTCGTTTGTTATCGGCGTTCCGTTACGCGCGCCCCCTCCTCGTGCCGGGGAACTTCCGGCCGCCGCCCCGCCCAAATAACCCGCCCCTCCCCGCCACGCCCCTCCCGCGGAGCGGTATTGCGTGCGGGTCGAACCGCTTCCACCCTCGTCGTCGTTAAAACCGAGCGTGCCGCGCGCCCCAAACCCAACTAGACTCCCGACCACCGCATACCTGTTGCCTCACGGCGCACTGCTGCTGCTGCTGGACTGGGCCCGCCCGCCCACGCGATCTCGACCCCGGAATCCTCAAATGGCTGCCAGTGCGGTGCAGTGTCTGCCGCATGCCGGCAGACACTGCGATGCCGATGGCCCCTGCGCGACGGTCTTCAGACGGACTGCACCCCCTCCCCACTCCCCGCCCGCCCCGCGACACTTGGGACCCACGCCGGTTGCCCCGAGTTTGACGCTGGTGGTTGGGAGTCTAGAATAAAGAGCTTAGAGGAGAGGGAGATGGGGGGGGGGAGAATATTTGGATTGCGCTCACACTTTGTCAAGCGGAGCCTCGGGCAGGCCGGAGCGCGCTGCATGGCTTGACCTCTTTTCGTGGCGTATTGACGGTTTGCTTTTAGGCCTGGACCAGGTCCGCCCTGCTCAGGGTATGGTCACCTCTACGATCCGCCTCCGGTGCAGACTCGCTGCTCGGGGTGTGGCTCTGCGGGCCGAGGAGGAGGCACCGCGAGCCTGCAGGACTCTAGCGCGCCGCCGCGGCGGGGGGGACCAGCGCACACAAACACACGCAGGCCACATACGAACGAATGCGAAACTCGACGCCGGTCTGCCTGGGCTCTGGCACATCTGCGTGTGTTGGCACAAGTGCGGGTAGCCGCGCTCTGCCGCGCCTCGGCCTCGGCGCCAGAGCAGCAGCAGCAGCGGGCTGGGCTGGGTGGCTGTTGTCACGGGCTGACCCCCTCCTCTTTGGTCAAGACAAATGAAAAAGAAACGCACAGAAAGCTGCAGAAGAGGGCTGTCTCCGGCAGCAGCCCGCGTCCCCCGCTGAGCGCACACTTATTGGCTGAAAGTTTTCCCCTATCTTCTTCCCTCTTTTTTCCTGTCGTCGTTGATCTTCGAGGGGTTTTACTTTTGCGCACAAAAGTTTTCGGCCGTTGCCGGCGTGGAGGAGCGTGGCGTGTGCGGCGGCGCTGGGGAGGGAGAGGGGCTGCTGGAGCAGTGCTGACGCCGGGGTTGTCGCGCTGCGTCGCCCGCCGTGAGGGCGGCGTCGTGGTGTCGCGCCTGCCGGTGGTGGCGCCCGCCGCCGGCGCCAAGGCCGCGGCGTTATGTTGTGTTGTGTCTTAGCGGCCGCAGTCACGTTGTCAATCACTACTTTGTCGAAGGCCGCAATTAGTAGAACAAGGCTGTCGTGGCGGCGGCACGGCGGCGGCTCCGGAAGCTGAGCGGTGCGCGCGGCGCAGCGGAACGGCCGAATGACGGGCGCCGTGGAGGTAGGCAGCCGGGAAGCACCCGTGCGCCGGCCGCGCGCGGCTGCCTACCCCTCCGGGTGTGCGCTACGCAGTAGCAGCGGCAGCGGCTGAGTGTCGGGCGCCGTGGAGGTAGGCAGCCG